AAATTTGTAAAAGACGATATTTATTAACATATATTTATATATGTGAAAATTATGTTCTTCTTTCAAATTTTTTGGATATCTTACTTTTTATAAAAAATGTACATTTTTATTTTTACATGAGATTTTAATGATATTTTCTATATACTTATTAAAATATAGAAGTATAATTATTAATGAATTGTTGAAAGTTATTTATGAATATATACATAATATTAACTTTTTCTGAACATTCATAAAAAAATTTGTAACTTAATTTTTACTTTATAATTACGGTATATCACTTATCGTGTGCATATATCTCCATGGATACGAAAGACGACATATTATGTTAGCTTAAGATTGAAAGAACATAATCGAAATTATCATATATTTTAATATATTAAAATTTTATACGATTATATAAAATTGTTATTTTTTTAAATAAAACCTGGTCATTTTTAATAGCCTTTATAATTATAATTAATGAAAACAGATATTCTAGATAATACACGTACACGAAAAAACGCTCTTTTGGAATTTAAATAATTTTTATTCAATCTGAATAATATTCAGATTTTTAGATAAAAAATTATATGAAAAGAAAATAATGGAAACTTATAAATTCCATATCAACAAAAATATATTACAATTTTTTATATATTATACTTGCCATCCAATTAGAATATAAAATAAGAATAAACTTTTAAATATTAACTTTTTATACTAAACATAGTAACTAAATACTTTTTCCATTTAAATGACAGATATTTCATGTAAATTTAGAGAAATTAATAATTTAAAAAAATTAATTATTGAGTATTATAATTGTATATATTGTATTATATTGTAAGTACTATAATATAATATACTATAATTAAGTATAATTATAGTATATTTTATTTATTATGCGTTTAAGAATTAAAATTTTATTTACTATTCAGTAGTATTAAATTGTCGTAATTCGTCAATATTAACGAAAAGAAATTCAGAATATTACTCTATCAATACCATAGCTTTGTTATGAGCATATGTATATATATATATATGAAGGGGTAATATTGCAAGTACAACAGAAAGGTAGTTAACCTCGTATCCATGTTGCTAGGACAACCGCTCACGCTTGTGACGTCACGGGACAAACTCTTGGTTTTATGGGTGACCCACATTCCAAAAATAGAAATTGACTCAACCCACATTAGTGCTATTATATTATACTTTTCCTCCTTTTATATTACCAAACAAACTTTGAATTTGAAAAAAAACTTATCACGTAGGAAACCCTTTGATGATCAATTACCCTTCAATGATAATTATAATTAATGAATACTAATCATGACGATGATTTTTTAATGAAGCAAATTATAGTTACATACCCCTTTAATTGGTAAATTGTATAAGAACATTGGTAATTTAGAACAAACATAAGATTTCTATTTATAACAACATTTTGTCACATTTATTATTGGAACAAATTAAGCTAAATGTATGTATTTCTTGTAATAAAATATTGTTGTAAATATTAATTAATAATATAACTTTTCAGAAACCGAAATTTTATCAACCTTTTCATTAGTATCATAAAATTAAATCATTAGTAAAAATTAACATATTGTACTAAAAAATTAAAATAATTAAAATTTTAAATTACTAATAGATCATATAAAATACTAATATATTTTTATAGATTAGTTATTTATATTTAAAGTTATTGTAAATAATTGTTTCTAAAAAAAATATATTACGTCATGTCTGGTCGTATATTTTGTCTAATTGATATATTTTTATAGTTCTATGATATGGATAAAATCCTAGCTCTAAATTATACTAATTGAATACTGACTAATGATAATATTGATTGCAATATTTTTTATAATCGATCGAATTTAATAAATAATTTAGGAATCTAGTCGCCATCTAAAAAGTACAATGAATAAACTTTTTAGATTTTTTTTTAATTTATCATTAGAAGATATTATAGAAAGCTGTTTTATCAAAATCTTAACGTTGCTTATCATATGTTGTACTACATAATCGTATCTAATGATTTGCATGTATTGCCGAAAATCTCGAATTATAATTTATTCTTATATAATTTGACGTGAAATATGACTTTCTATCTTTCTCCACATAAGTGTAAGTATTTAAATATTAAGTATAAATTATATTTAAAATATAAATAATAATAATAATTATAATAATAATAATAATAATAATAATAACAATAATAATAATAAAATTAAATATTAACAGATAGTATTAAAATTTCGAATAAATTATCATTATTTAAAATTATATAAAAAATGATAGTAATACGTTAAGAGAATCTTATAAAATGCTATACATGTATCAAATTTCCATAAGTTTACATTATATATTTTATTATTTAATTTAAATTAAAAAATTTTTTCTAATTCGGAAATTGTAATATTTAAAAATTCTTGCATACTTAGTGAAAATACGTATTATAAAGAAACGTATTAAATTTCAACAAATTTTCAATGTAAATACTATTACAGAAATATATGGATAAAATTAATTAATTCAAATATATTTCTATGATAATTATTGTCATCCTTATTTTATAAGTTATAAAATCTAAGTATTGTTAAATGTATTGATAAAAAAGAAAAAATGTAACATTTAGTAGAAAATATTAAACATTAAAAAAACTGTATAATATAATTATATAATATGTTATATTATATATATTATTATAACATATAATTATATTATATATAATTATATGTTATAATATGTTATAATGTATAATATGTAAAAAACTGTATAATATAATTATATAATATGTTTATAATATACATTAATAAAATAAGGATATTTAAGGAGATCATTTAGTAATTAAAAAAAAATATTTTTTTTACATAAATAATGAAAAATCTTATGAAAATTTTATTCAATAAACATATACCTTAATTTATTCGAAAATGTTTATGTGGAGTTCAAATATAAATAAAGAATATTTTGAGGAACTAGAAAAAAAAATTATAATTAGATATATTTGAAAATATTAATGCATAATTTACATTGGTAAATATTTGTAAAAATTTGTATAAGAATTTAAGTTTCTGATTAAAGTTACGTTATTAAAATGAAGAGATAGAATTGTTTTTTAAACATTGCGTTTACAAATTTTAATAGTGTAAAGAATTTCTGTTTAAATTATTTCTATTTTTATTCATTAATTATTTCTATTTAAAGAGTATATTATTTAATACTGTAAAAATCAAATTTATTTCACTTTCCATATACGAATTAAACTATTTTAATAATTTGAAATAAACAGAATATTTCTCTACACATTATAATATATAATTTTGAAAATTCTAGTTTAAATGTTAATGCTTAATGAATAATTTAAATTGTCTAAATAATTTGAAATTTATTTATCATTTGAAGCTTGTATATACAATGTTTAGTTATTTAAAATTTAATGTTTAATCGTTTCAATATTCTTAAAATAATTTTTTTTTGGTCTTAATATGTCAAAATATTTTATCTATTATTTTGAAATAAAAATGAAATAGACTATTTTTTTAAATTTTAATTAATTTATGAACATCTGTATTTAAAATTTTTTAATAAAGACATACATAATTAATATTATATATTAAATAGTAAGTAGTTAAATAGAGATTCTTATCTATTTAAATAATTATAATTTTTAATTCTGTACTTTTTATGAATTTTATTTATACTACATGTAAGTATAATTATGACTACGAGCTATTCTCTTTAAATTTATATATATTATTAAGTATGAATTGTTTTAATATAAAATATAATATTATTAATCATATATTTGTATACCTTATACAATAATTATAATTATTTATTGATGATTTTTATTGCGTAAGCATCAATAGTTATGAAAAATGCTAATAAATAATTAATAAAATAATTAATATGATGGTTAATATTCTACAATATTTCTATTGTATATTCTAATATATATTATTGCTTTATTAAGTAGTTTTGGTTATTTATATTAATTTCACTTTTTAAAATTATAATATAGGTCAATTTTTGTATAATAACGATTTTAATTATTATACTTTTATATCGAAAAAATATTTGAAATGAAAGTTTTAAAAATATAGATTCATGTAATAATAACTATCAATGCATCTACAAATATATAAAATTAGTTAAGGGTTCCTATTGAAATTTTGTGTTTCAATAACTTAGTCAAATTTTATTTTTATATCCCTTAAATATAACATAAATTTATCTTATTAATAGTAGGAATAAGTTTGATGATCCCTATGATGTTTTTCCTTAATGATTATTGAAATTCAAATATTAGTCATTAGTAAATTGATATATAAATTACTTATGTTTTAATAAAGATGCAAATCTTGATGTGATATATTATGAAAATACATTTGAATATATTTTAATAATATTTCATTCTGTATAACTACTGATAATTGCATACATGATAATATTAACATCGTTTTAATATTTTAAAGAAACTCAAGTTTTTATTAGTATAATAAATAAATTTATATATTATTCTTATAGATGGTATCAAACATTATCATAGAAAAACTTTTCCTTCTTTAATTTCAATAGATATATTTAAATATCAATATTTGACGTTTATTAATTAATAAAATATCATTAATTTTTATAAGATTTTATTATATATCTTCTATATTAAAATAACACAGTTTTGAAAAATATTTTATTGTCTCATACCCCTTTTTATGAGATGAACATTATATATGTATATATGTATATTTTTAAGTAAGCGAGCATGCGTACGTGCATATTTGCATGGATATTAATAAGGATGGGTATGGATGAGTGGGTGTATCATATTTTATGGCTCATGCTTAGCTTCCATTTCTTTTAAACCGTACTGTTTTCAGATTAGTTATTTTAAAACGAATGAAAGAGCAAAGCATAGCTGGTTAGTTCGCTGTTGCGCCTAAAAACGTCCTGACCAATCATCCAAGCTCTTGATTCTGTCTTACTTTACCACCTCTCTCGTTTTCTCTTTCTCTCTTTTTCAGTCTCTCTCTATATTTCGGTCTCCTTATTATTTTTTTATTTGTACCCGACGACGACTAAACGACTTCTCTTACGTCGTGACTTTTACACAGTCAGCTGCAGACGGTTCCGTTGAGTAGTCACAAGCAGTTAAATCTTTCGATATATAATAAAAGTAAGTAAAAGTATTATATAGCAAAAAAAATTTATATATGCAAATAAATAAATAAATAAGTAAATATATATATATATATATATATATATATATATTTACTTATTTATATATATTTAAATATATATATGTATATAATATTACTTTTTTTATGAAACCATTTCATTATTCATAATATTATTGTTACTAATTATTTAATGTAGTTTAGAAATTCAATATTTCTATAATAATTTCTCTTGTACTTATTTAGAATTATGTAATAAGATATTTTAAATCATTAGCATTCTAATAATATTATAATCAATATAAGTAATAGAAACAAATGAAAATATTTAATTTATTAAAATTTAATAGAAATTTTAAAAAATTAAAAATCTTACACATAATACAAATTTCACATAATATCAGAATTAAACCTTTTTATTAATATATCTTGAAATATACATATTTATTTTATAATATTTTGTTCTGAGCTACAAAATCTTTTGTTATTATTAAAAGTAAAAGGATATTCATTTTATGATTAATATATATTTTTGAATGCATTACGATTTCTAATTGTTAACATGTATTTTATTATCATGTTTATTATGAAGAATATAATTTTTATATTATATAAATCTATAATATTGTTAATTTTAGAAAAATTTATATTTCGGTTTTTAGAAAATTACAGAATGATTTATGTTTAGTTATAATAGGAAAGTTTTTTATTCATCGATGCTACTTTTTAGTACATTATATCAATAATTTATATATATATATATAATATTTAATTTATTATTAATTATAATAATTTAAAAAATAACGATTATAAATTATATTATTATCAGGAGTTATTTTTTATATGACCATATTTTATGTCATTTGTAATATTTCTCAAAATTCTGTGGTGGATTTCAACTATTTATAATAAAAAAAACCTTGGGTCATTTTATTGATGTGATTAAATTAAAATAAATATAATTACTGAATATAAATAAGTGGAAACACGTATATAAAATAATATTTGAAAATTAAGTAAAGGAAGATAAATTATTCATAATATTTAGAATGTTTGAAATAATTAATTTTTATAATTTGCAGACGATTACTTCTTAAAAATAATACTGAAATACAACTAATTTAAAAATATATATAATATTTATGTAGAATAAATAAATATATATTATATTTTATTTATAATATTAGTCTATTTATAATAATAGTATTATAAAAGAATTCTTTTAATAATTTTGAAAATTACATTGTATACGTTGATATATATATATATATATATACATATTTATTGAAAATATATTTGCAAATTTATTCGTGTGTATTTACAGGTTGGATGTCAGTGTAGATAGCACAATGCACAAATATTATAATATTTTCATAATTTTCTATTATTGAAAATATTTTTTTAAATTATAACAAATCTAAATTTCACAAAAGGGAAACCAATTAATGGATTCCAGAACAATCAAGTATATCCCTAAATTTTAATATATCTTCTATTTAAAAGAATAAAATAATACTGATAATAATTATTTAGAATAAATATTTCGAATTTAATATATCGTTTTCAATGATATAAAAATTTAACATAATATGTAATATATTATTTCATAAAATCAATATTATTTATATTTGAAAAAATTTTATAATATTTTAATATTTCTATTTGTCATCAGAAAATTAGTAAATATTAAAATGTAAAATTGATATTAAAATTAATTTTAATAAAACACTTGTAGGTTGTATCATATAAATTTTTATTATTGAGAACAGTTATAAATTGTATTATCAAATACTGTATACTAGTGTATACTATTATTATTATTATATAATAATATAATATATTATAATATATATATTATAATATATTATATATTATATATTATATATTATATATTATATATTATATAGATTATACTATAAACATTAATATGTTTATATTTTAATTAACTGAAACTTTTAAAAATAAAGCCACTTTAACATTAAAATGAAAATTATAAATAATATTATTAATTATATTTAAAAATATAATTTTTTTATAATAGTAAGAGAATTTAAATTCAAATTTGGAAAAACAACTATTTTACTTTAAAAATCTTAAAATAGTAATCATATTAGAATTTCTTTTATTTATCTTCTTTTAACCACGTATAATTTTTATTATATCTTTAGATAAAAATATAGTTATCAAAAAATTAAATACTTAAATTGTAGATGGCAATATTTCATTATGGTCTAAATCAACAACATTTATTTTGTTCAGATTGGTGTTCTATTTAATTTACTATTTAAGCAAATGTGATCATGATTTCTAATATATATATATATATATATATATATATTTATCTACATATATTTTAGTAGTATTTTATTATAAAAAAAAGTTTAAAATAAAATAACTTAATTTTTCAATTAATTTTTCTGTATTTCCCTAACATCAGAGCCACCTCGTGTCCGTTGCCATTATTACGGTAGATCAAAATAACTTTCGAGGCCCTTGGCTTCCATATTTAGCGAACATACCGTTCGGTTTTGCTTTCATCATTATAAATAAAAATATCATATAAAGTAGTTTTACTTGTACAATGTAATTGTTTGACTATTTATACATTCATATTTATTTCAAACAGAAAATGGTGATAAAATTTAAATATCTTTATTTTTTAATTCATATAAAAATTTGTCTACAATTGTGTATCAATAATGTTTTATATAATATAATAAATATAATGTATTGTAAAAACTTATAAATGTATTCAAAATTTATTTATAATTTTAAGTCAAATTGTTCTACAATTTTATTTTTAACTTATTTGATATTTTATCAATTATATTATATATTTATTTCATAAACTTACTTTTACATTGTCGTTAATTTCAAAATTAATAATGAAGAATTTATGATAGTATATATAAAATGTAAAGAATAAATAAATTCATTAATAAATTAAGAGAAAATTATAAAAATATTTATTTGATTTGTAGATTTAATACTTTTTTAGATAAAATGTAAATAACATATAACTTAATTTTACGCAATCTCGAAAGTGACACATACTCTATAATATATTTTTCATTGTCTAATTAAAGTTCTTCAACCAAAGTATTTCTACTTAGATGCTATTTTTTTAAAATGCAATTAAATGCATACCACTTTTATTCTGTTTAATTATTGACAAATCGTTGCGGCTAAAATTATGTGCATTTATCATTCAACTCCATATATAATGAAAATTGTATAACTGCTGATATTCCGACAGAATATTTCGAGTTTGATAAAACCATAAGGATTTGTCTAGAAGCAAATTTATATATTTGATCAAATTGAGTTCTTAACTTTTTATATAGATACTAAGTTATACATTGAGTTTAGAAAAACTCAAAAGCCACACAATTAGATTTTAATATATATAATACATATAATATAATTGTAAAAAATATATAATATAAATATATATATATGTAATTATTTATAAATTAATTGTTATTTATATATGAACCAATTAATGATCTTCATATAACCCTTTGTTTTTTATCTTCTTATTCACATTCTTACTTTCTCTTCCCATTTTCGATTCTTTTTTATTATCTAATACTCCTCACTCTTCTGTACTTTTATTTATACAAATTCGAAAGTGGTTATCCAATATCCTTAATTGTATAAATTGCCTCTATTATCTTATTACTATTTACTAATGATAGAATTTCAATTATCAAAAAAATCTTTATGAAAATAATGAAAACTATTATTCACATTTAAAATTTCCACTATTTGAATTTAAAAATGATAAATAAAATTGAAAAAATGTTATTTTTTATTCAAATAAATTTGGAACGTTAACATAATCATACAGTTGAAGGAATATGATTTATAAGAAAAATTGTATATCTGTATATAATAAAATTAAAAATAAAAAAATTTGTTTTTACAACATAACTAAATACTAACATAATTTTTAATTTATATATAAATTTTAAATTTATAAAATAAAGTGCAATTTAATAATAAATATATTTATTAACTTTTTAAGGACAGTTTTATAATATTTTAAAAATAATTCATAAAATATATTTTTATTGTGATGTATAAATAGAATTTACTAAATTTGTAATAAGTGAAATAAGTAAGTGAATTTATATTTATTTCATCAAATTCTTTCAAATGCATAATAAAATTAATTTTCAATATTGTAATATGTATTATTCTTATTGATTATATAAAGTATAGTTATTTGAGTGTATATTTTTACTATGTTTTTTTATTAAGATATTTATTACTTATTTATATAACTAAATTTATAAATTTAATTAAAATGAACACATCTAAAATTCATAAATAAATGAAAAAATATTATGTTAGTATTTAATTATATTATTAAAACAATTTTTTTACTTTTAATTGAAAAACTTCTGCAGAACATATTGGAACTGCTTCAAAGTCAAAGAAATTCTATTCTTAGTTTCAATCTAAACTATATGATTTTGCAACTGTTTAAGTTTAAAAATATTTATATATGTTTTATTAATAACATATACTGTTCTACATACTCTTTCAGGATGTAATGTAACTAAAAAGATTAAATAAAAAGATTAAATATTTAATAATATATTAAGATTTCAGAAAAAAAAGAATGAATCAAAATAATAGAATTTTTAGGTCAATGACACCGATTCTACGGAATTTCTACTTACATATATTATTCTATTTACTTCACAATTAGTTAAAAATAATATGTATAAATGAATTTTGAGAATAATGTAAATAAATAACAAAATATTATAAATAAAATAATAGAAATTAGGACAATGGAAAAGTTAACAAATAATAAGAGAATCAGGGATGGTGTTAAATATTAAATGAATTGAAATAATGATGAAATATTCATTGAACATAATAATGTCGTTATAAGTTAACAAGTAAATTATACTTTAGTTTGACAATGTACATAATGTATATATGGTATATCTGTTTATAATTTCTATGAATCATTGTCTCGTTTAATATAAAAGTTTCCTTGATACTCTAATTATTTCATTTTCATTCTTTAATATTATTTAGAATTTTTAATATTTGTTTTTAATTGAAATAATAGTTTTAAATAATTAAGATATGTTAGTGAAAAATATAATAGTATGGAAAATCATTAATTTAGTTTGTTTAAATTTTAATATTCTATCGGTATATTTTATCCTTTACCCTTATTCTCTCTTTCTCCTTTTTTCTTCATTATTCATTTCATTACGTATACACTCATTGTGAAAAAACCTAAAGTAATAAAGTAATTAATATTATCTTCAATTAATTAGTATTTTTATAATAGTAGCAAATTATACGTTTAATAATCCAAATATTACATATTTGTCATAATGTGTGAATATTTAGAAAAAGATTTTTTATCACAATGTTGATTGAGTTAAATATTTTATAATTTATTTTATCGTTGTTTCTCATATAGTACAATATGTTCCAAAATATATCTAAAATATAAATGTACAGACATTTTATATTCCTTTATTCAAAGAAAAGTTCTACGATATCATACCGAATTCTGTTATTGAACAAAAATTTTGTAATTCATTCAATTTTTTTTCTGTAACATAATTTACTAAACATAGTAGATATGGAAATAAATAAATTATTTAGGAATAAATTTGTCATTGAACGTATATGAAATGTATTCATTCATATGTACATATTTTTTACATTGGGTATATTAAAATTAAAAGTAAAATGTGCTTTGAAAATCAAAAATATTTAAAATTTTATTTGGATAATTTTTCTTATTAAATATTTGCAATAATTCATATATAATAATATTATAATTCAATAAAATATTTTTATCATTTTCGTTTTAATTGTATGAAAAGTGATTTAATATTTATGTTTATAATATAAATATAAATACTGATTTTTCATAATCAATTAATAATTTATTTGATTACAATAATACTAGCTCTGAACTACTATTTCAGTAATAAAAAACGATATTATTTTTGTACTGGTATTTGAAAACTAAAAATTATTTGATATATTCCATTAAAAAATTATTCCATTATTATTGAAATTGTTTGATGCAAGTAATTTGAAATGAAATGTAAATAACTTCTGATATAATTTAATTTTATTATGTCATAGTAGAAAAATAAATTCATATAACAAATTTATTATTTTATTTCTTCTTTTATAGAAACATTTTAAAAAGGTTAGTTTTTGTTATTAAATTATTATTTATTTGATGGGATAATAAAAGATGTTAGTTCAATTTTAAAAGCAGTATATAATATATAAATATATAAATATATATATATATATATATATATATATATCTAATAGTATTTTCATATAAATCTAATAGTATTATTATAAGAAATACATTGATTGTTGACTATAAACATATTTTCCATTGAAATTATAAAACTGGAGTAAAGTGATACGGATACGAAAATGGTGATCGTTGTAACCAAATTTGGCTCGGACGAGTAAGAAGAGGAAAAGAAACATATACGTAGATGACTATTTTTGAACGATTCGAATGCTTTAACCATGTTATCGCGCTAATGAATAGTTATGTATATATTGTTAAAATTTCGCAATTTCCATATTTGATGTTTCTGAATTCCACTATGAACTATTTAACGTAAATTGTTTTATTTTATTTTATATAATTATGTAGATACAGCTGTTAAATTTTCATTCAGTTTAACCAAGTTTACGTTATCAAATAGATTAATTTCTTAATAGTGAAAAATAAGTTTTATAAAATATAAATATTCAATGTAATTCAATGTAATGTACAAAATAAAATTAATCTTATCGCTAGATTATATATAACTATATTTGCAATTGTGTATAAATAATTACGTTTAGTACATTCTTCCTTTTATTAGTGTACTGAATTTTCATGTATTACTATAATATCATTATTCTTTCAATTAGAATATGTTCATTAGAATATTTTCAGAATATGTTATAAATTTCTAAATAATTCGTAGTAAACATGATACATAAAGTAAAGGTAATAAATATAATGGTATTTAAAAAAAGTTTCAAATATTTAAACATTAAATTATCGTATATCAATTATGAAAATATTGTATAGAGTGATACCAAAAGTTATATTGGTATTTAAACATAATATTGATATTGATACACATATAAGAATATATTACAGTGATTATTCAATTTGTAATAAATTTGTAATCAATAATTTGAGATTTTAAACAAATTTAAGATGCTTTGTAATACATTTCTACAGGCAATATTTTTATATTTTAGGGATCAATCACTAACAACTAGATTCAAAGATGGCTGACGATGAGGTTAGGTATGTATCAAATAGGAAGATTTATTAAAATTCGTATACTATTATTCGTAATTACAAACAACTATTAAAACAACTAATATTATATTATATTTAAATTGTTTTAAATTTTTAATAACTGTTAAAAGCTTTAAGAATTGAAAATATTTTTCTACAAAATCCTGAGAATTACTTTAATTAGTATTTTAAAACGAAACATAACAAAAGTACTAAAAAAATAATTTTTTATTTTATCAAAATAAATAATACAGCATTAAATTTAAAAATTGGAACATATAAAATTTAATTAAACGTATCTTTGGAATATCTTATTCATACATGCCAAAAGGTTTACAAGCAAACGGTGAAAATTTGACTAAAATATTCAGTCATGATGGGACTATTTTTTCATAAATTACTAACTCAAATAAGTATCAGTTTTTAACTAACATTTAAATTTCTTTCCATTTTCTTTATATAAATAACATTCGTTATAAAAACTGTAATTATATATAAATTACAAAATATATACTTTCCATTGATTATTTAACTTATTATTTTAAGAAATATTGATTTTTTAGATCTTTATAAATAGAAATTTATTACTTTTTAATATAATTTTTTGTTTTGTTAATTCATGTTTATAAAATTATTAACATTAATGTTTTTTATTTATAATGCATGGTATATATTTTTTTAAGCATTTGCAATGAAAATTGAGAATTATTAAAAATCCATATAAAATTAATAATAAAACAATTACTACATTATATTTCGTGACAATTAGTTTTCATAGCTAACTGAAATCCACTTTACTAGATAAATGATGGAGAAATTTCTTTTTATTTACAAAATAATAATATACATAATGTATACCAATATTTTATTTTCTATAAGTATAATATTTTATTTAATCTGAGATTACATATTTTGTAAAGTGTATTATTAATAAAAAATCGTAAATAATAGTATATTTTGCCATAATGCTAGTATATTATAATTGAATTGTAAAAATGTTGTCCAGTATACAGAACAGAAATTATATGTTTAAATAAATTAATATTTTTATGCTACTATAATTATTCAATATTAAATGAATACATAGAATATAAATAAATTAATGTATTAAACAAAAAAAATCTTTTAAATATATTGTATCAATTTCAAAGGCAAGAATTATTTTCTGCTAATAATTACTATTTTATAAATAATTATTATTCAAATTTTTATTATTGTTCTACGCAAAATTTATTATTGAAGATTTTTAAAGAAATATATATATATATGCGCATTTATACAAAAGTAATTTTTAAAATTTTATTTGTTACATATTCCCGTTTCAAATTGATGTTTCATCTTCATGTGCTGAAAACACTTATTTTATCTTCATATTTTAATGAAAAATCAACAACGCAAATTGAAAATATTTAATGAATTAATTTTTCTATGGAAATTGAAATGCTGAATACGTACAGTATTTAAATTATTCAAAGGTATGGTATATCTGCAGTTTTAGTTTTCCTGGTGTATTGATAGTTTGAACATACTCTTTATACTTTCAATTATATTTCTATATATAAATGTATAGAAACTGTGCTTTCCTATGTGTACAAATTAAAACATGGCATCTGATATTTTTGGAAATTTACAGAACGTAGGAATACGGAATTATCTACATTAATTGAAAATGATATTTAAATAAATCTTATGTTTTCAATGGTTAAATTTGAACAAAAAAGTTAATTTATATGATATTTTTATATTGATTTACTTCCATTTTTATGTTATCTATTAGAAATTTGTTCTGTTGAATATGTTTTTCCAGATTTTTCAATATGATGACCAAATCGTATCGATTGCAAATTTTAAATGTTCATAGAAGAGCATATTAAAAACGACTGCGAATCACTCAATATTTTATTTCTTTTTTCGCATGCAAACATACGCACATATATTGTGCAGTTCATTGGTTTATGTGCTTTTATAATTCCTGATGGTGAAAAATCTATTTCTATAAAATTATTCACTTGTATTTTTGAATTTAAAATAAAACGGAAATGTGTAATAATATTGCCATTGTTGAATTCCATAATTAATATTTGTATATTATTTGTTTTATCTTTATTCGCAGCACATTTCATATTTTCAAAAATGTCAAATATATTGTACAATACATACAAATTTTAATAAATTTAAATAAATAATTTTTGTTAAATTTTTATATAAAGTATTTTAAAACAGATTTATTTTATTGTTCGTCATAATCATTATTTGTTACAATTATAATTCAACTATTTGATTTCAAACTAATACCTTTTTTAACATTTTATATATGTTTTATATTTTTTGTAAATTGACGAATTCTATTTTATTCATAAAAAATATAAAATAAAATGTCGATTAAAAATCTATGTGAAAATATTGAAATCGTTATTTTAAATATAGATAATTTATCAAATATAAATACATAATTATTTGAACTAAATGTTAAATGTATTATTATTTTTCAAATTAAAACTTGAAAACTTGTTAAATAATCTTATATAAGTTTTTTTATTATATTTAAAATATATATAACTAATTTATTTCAATTTTATAAAAAAATATTTTTTTATATACTTTTATCGATTGTTGAAATAAATATATTGCATATAATTAACATTAATATATATTTGTTGTTAAATATTCCATAAAAAATATTGTAAAATGTTGTTTATTCTATCTAACTATGATAACTTGATGATAATTATATATTAAGATCTTTAATCGTACTCAAAAATATTTATTATGTTATGATTGATAGTCTAGTGTTTTATAAATTAATCAAACCTCATTCAATTTCTATGTATAATATAAAATATAAAATAATATATTCATTAATAAAAATACAATACAAAGAATAATTTAAAGTTATTTATATGTAAAAGTAATCACTGAAACTATTTTAAATTTTTCATTATATTTTTAGTTATTCGCTTATATTTACATAATAATCAATTTTCGGTAATAAAAAAAATGACGTGAAATGTACACAATTTGAATTTGAATTAAGGTAAATAAAGACTATTGAATTATACATAAGTAATGTTTTTATATTAATGGATAAAATCCATATAAAAAAGGAAGGGAAAAAGCTGTAAAAATACTCTGTAGATTACGAGGGTTCGTAGAAATAACAAAACAATTAATACTCAACACTACCTCAGGGATTCAGTGGTAAAGTAGATACTCTACCTACTCATACGTTTTTATATATGCAGCTGCATGTCTATAACCTATAAACTAAATTTAGTTCCTTGATTTTTTTAGAAATACAAACGCTTATTATTTAGTTAATATGCATGTATCTTTATATCATTTTAATATTATGTGATTTCTTTTTATAAAACAATATTTTTCTCTCACAATGCATTCTGAATCTTATGTTGCAATAAATATTTTGTAATTATTAATTTCCATAGTAATTATTTTTATTACATATAATAATATTGAAATGCACTACATATTAAGAATATCTTTTTACTTTAAAAAATAAATTATTTAAAAAATTGCATTTAACATCTACAATTAAATAAAAAATTATTATTCTAAAATGTATAATTCTTTTATCTACACTATAAAAAGTCTTGTCTACGTAAAATAAAAATTTTATATTTTTTTATTTATTTTGTAAAAAATTTGGATAATGAATTTCAAATTATAATAATTAAAAAATAATGTAAAATTAATAACTTAAGTTTAACTATTAAAAATAATTTATAATTATGATTAATTTTTGTGATATTTTTATTTACAGAAAAAGCGTATCGAGGATGTACGTAAAAGGAAATATCGACATTTTTGGATAGATAAAGCTCTATTTTCATTATTAAATATTTATTTTCTATTAAAAATATTTTTAATATTTACTATTGTAAATTACAATATAATTTCAGCAAACTTTTCTACGTAATTTATAAATTCAGTGAACAATACTTTTTTATAAAAAGAACTTATATTTTGAAAATTTTCATTTTTATTATAATTATTTATAAATAATTATTTTTAATAAAATTGATGTTAATATCTCTTTAATCATTAATAATTTTCAATATTATGCCCATTTTACTTAGTTTATAATTTCATAAGTTTCGCAAAGTATAAATTAAAAACAAAATTTGGACACTAAATTTAGGAAAGAAAAAGGAAACAAGCGGAAACTGATAGAAAAAGAGCAGAAGTTCGTGCACGTCTCGAGGAGGCGAGCAAAGCTAAGAAAGCCAAAAAAGGGTTTATGACCCCTGATCGTAAAAAGAAGTTAAGAGTGAGTAAATGACCACATATTTTTTAAAAATAAACATGTATTTTACTACACATTTTGTTTTGTTATAATGCATACATAATATACGCTAACGGGTAAATTATAAATGTTAAGACTTTTACGTTAAAATAGAAAAATTATGCGAATAGTTCCAATAGAATATCTTTAAAAATGTGATCATCAAATTTAATCTGCCTTACATAAGTTCATATTATTAATTAACTCATACTAATAATTGAATTTAGCCCTTAAAATATAGTTAGTTAATTAAGAATTTTTTTTATTGGATAATTTTAAATAGTGAATTTGAATCTATGAATACTATTGCAACTATATATAGCACCCAATGGCTTATATGAGTCTTAATTTTTGTGCGATGAATTAATTTTTTATATAATTTATAAAAGAAAGTTACAGTAATTAAATTCAAAATTCATATTAAAATTGAATAACTTATAGATATATTCTTTAACAATAATAATATATTATCTAGTAAGGAAATAAAAATAAATTAAAATTTTCATATATATTATAGTATTAAGAATAATCAGATCTTTAAATATGAAAAGAATTTGATTAAATTTTATTATTTAACGTGAACGCGCTTAACTGTACTTTTTGGAAGATCATGAAAGTTTTAAAATTAAAAAAAATTGTTAATATTGTATGAATCATAATTTTATTTTATATTGTAAAAATTATCTTATCAGTAAATATGTGTATGTGTGTATGCGTGCCTTGTGTGAGTGTGTGTATATAATATTATCATAATTAAAATAATTAATTTTAAATAATTAAAATTAAATTAAAAAAAAAGTAAAATAATTAAAATAAATATTAAATTTAAAAATAAATTTTAACAAGTCTTTGGTTACATAAAAATAGATTACTAAAATAAAACAAATCACTAATTTATTTCTATATATTTTAGCTACTGTTGCGTAAAAAAGCTGCTGAAGAATTGAAAAAAGAACAGGAAAGAAAAGCAGCCGAAAGGAGACGCATTATCGAAGAACGTTGTGGAAAACCAAAGAACGTCGATGATGCTAATGAAGGTATTTTTCAATTAAAATTAATTAATTTATATATTTTTTAAATTGTTCTTGAGTATTTCATTGTCAAAATCATATAGTTTTCAATCAATTCAAATTAATTATTTATAACCTCCACTGACTGTACAACAAAATAAAAATTGTTAATTAGAACATAAAATCGGTTTCCATAATACTTGAATTTTACAATTGCAAACAATTTGAAGTTTCACAAAATAATAATTGTTACTGCCATAATACATTAATAATAAGTTTACAGATATATTACAGTAAAGTTTTTTACTGACAGTAGAAAATATTTTTCACTGAATCTTCTAATAATTTTTCTTTCCATTATAACAGATAATATAAACAGTAAGTAGTGAAATAGGGGTTTGTTTAACAATTATAATAATTCTTATATTTCATATACTTCGTAATTGAATTATGAATTGATATTCATAAATAAAATTTATTATATTATAACTTATATAAATATAGCAATTTATTAAAAAAAAACATTATTTGACATTAAAATATTAATTTGAATGTACAAAATATATAATAATTTTTTTATTACAATTTTTTTTACTTTATATTTGTTAGTATTATTTTATAAATCAATAGAACGGATAAATATATTTTTTATTAGTTATAGTTATTTGAATATGACCAAATTTAAATTGTTATTCAAATAATGAATTTTCTTTAATTATATTTAGAATCTTAAATACAATAAAGGTTGAGTTCTATAAGGCAATTTCCAGTAAAATATTCAATTATTATTGAATTTCTACAATATACTTTCTTATTTAGAAGTATGCAGTAAAACATTTCAATGATTAAGTATAATATTAAATTTATATTTATTTACATTTATCATTAACTATAATATTGGAATACATTTATTCTTCCATTAATAATTTGAAATAGATATTTATATAAATTACTTAGGTGGTCACATTTCTATTGAAATATATAATTATTTATTTTAGGTTATATATGAATAATGTTTTATCAATAATCACTTCTGTGTTAATTATAATTTTTTCATTTGATTGTCATTTCCTGCATATTTGAAAAATTTTCAATTCTAATTTAAAATTTAATAGTTTAATTAAAAACTGTAAAAAACGATATCTTTCGATGATCGCGCAGAGAGTATCAAACGGGTGCTGCGAGAGTACCATGATAGGATCACCAAATTGGAGGATAAGAAATTCGACATCGAGTATGTCGTGAAGAAGAAAGACTTTGAGGTATATTTTTGATGCCGCGCTTATTAAATATTGATCATTTTCTCTCTTTTTTCGATTATTTTCATTGTTCATTCTTATTCTTATAATCTTTTCGCACAAAGTTTGCATCAACTTTCGCACTATACAGTATAGTAATTATTAATCAGTAGAAATAATTGCCTATTTAATAATTTTCAAATTTATCTTAATGTTGCGAATTACGCACTTAAACACAAACAGCTTCCGCATTAAGAATTTTAACATAAGAATTTGATGATATCTTTCTTTTATTTCAAACTGTTTGTATATATTGGAAGATAAACTTATATAGGTAAAATTTAGATTCAAATTTAAATTCAAGTGTGATATAATTTAAATATTTGTACAAAAATATTCATAGAGAAAGATATATATTTTGACTTATTTAAAAATAATACAATTAATAACAAAAATTTTTTTCTTATTTAATGTTGAAAATTATTATCTACTAAGTAAGATAATATAGATAATTTTACAGAATTTTGTAATAAGTTGATTTTAATTTATATTTTATTAGAAAAATAAACAAGATACCATCTTTTAATTAGATTCAATATAAAAAATGAAGTATATTTAATTTTTTTATTTATACAAGATCGATTTTTACAAAAGTTGTAAATTGTATTAACACACGAAAGAAACTTAGAATAACTAAAAAATAGTTTAATGTAATAAATTTCATGTTGTGAGAATATTTTTTAATATTTTTTTTACTATAACTCTCTATTCACAGCCAAGGTTTTGTTTAAATTTGGATTTACGTAGTACTATCACTTTTTCGATTTTATATTATTTTAAATTGCTGGTATTTATTTTGAACTGAAATTTGAATAATATTTTTATATTTAATTTTACATATATGAAAATTCACTGTTTTTTTCATTTACTGAAAATCTAAAGTAGAAAGCCTTACTCTAATATTGGTTCAGTTCAACAATTGGAGTTTAGAAAATATTATTTGATTGTATTTTAACGTTATCTAGTTGAATTCTTTGCATATTAAATTATAAAATATATAATAAAACTAAAAATGCAAAATGATAAAAATGCTAATAAAAATTTTTGTATTTTATAACAATCAGTTATGCTTCTTCCTTAATTAAAAGTTTCACTGTGTAAAAGAAATGTCTTTACAGAAGCCTATTAATTGTAATTAAATATATTTTATATTCTAATTTAACATTTAGTGTTGCATCTTTGTAAGAACTAAAAGATTGAGTAAAAGAACTAAAACTATTGAGTAATATTAATAGTATATAAATAGTATATAAATATTATATAAAAAAATAGTAATACTAAATGTTCAAAAGACTTTTTTAACGTAATTTGTTATTAAAAAAGTTAAAGCTCCAAAAGTAATTAAAATCCTTATAAATTATAAAATATTTATATTTATTTTTTATTTTCAGTCCTTTCTTCTTTAAAGCTTTTTTATAAGCTTTTAATATTGAGAACCAAATTCTTATTTTTAATGTATGTCAGTTAAATAAATATCGTTTGTTAATAATGAATTCCATCAAATCTTTTAATTTAATTAACATTCTTATTAAGTAGACAATTAATATTGTTACTTCGTTTTTAATTTCACGAAGAAAATATAATAATATAATGTGTATTTCTGGTGATAATATATTGTTAATAAATTTTGTTAACAATTGGTTAAATAACAAATATAAAAGATTAACGAGTTTAGCCTTAAGAAATTAAAATTGTTATTTATAAATAAGTTAATTCTCTTATTTTTATTAAAACTGTTTTTTTTTTGCATAACCCAAATTATCACAAATTTTATAATTGAAACATTTTACAGTATACGTATAAGTATTTGTTGATTTGGTGATTGTAATCTTGATATTCCTTATTGTTAGAAGTACTTGAATTGAGCATTCATACATTAGTCGATATACACACACACACACACACATATATATATATATATATATATATATATATATATATATATATACACATTATGAAAATGTTATTTAATCTAAAAATTTGAATTTCTGATTTATAAATTAAAATTAGAATGAATGTCGATTAAAACTATTTAGTCTCTTAAACAATTTATAGGAAAAAAAATTATTTACTGTCATTTAAAAATTTGGATGCAAGTTTAATTATAAATCAATAAAATGTTATCGCAATTTTTTATAAATTTGTATATTTTGTTATATTAAAAATTTTGTAATAATTAAGTAGGTACAGTAATAATTTAATTTCTAATTATTTTCATATTTTTTAATGATGAATTATATTTAATGAAGAATTAATATTTTAAATACCGTTGGGCATAAATAAAGCACATTGTTTTATAAGCACCTAATTAAGTGCTCTAAACACTATTTATATACTACTTTAGAGGAAGAGAGAGAGAGAGAGAGAGAGAGAGAGAGAGAGAGAGATATTGAGCGAAAATCATAGTAAAAACAATAAAATCGTGGTTGAATTTTTCGTATATATTTAAAACTAGTAAATTATGTAACAAAACAATATATATTAAAAAAAGTAAGATATGTTTTCTTACTTTTGATGATATATCTTTATCATTTAAACAAGATGTTAAGTAAAAATATACACATATATTTATAGAAATTTGTTAAATATCTTTGGCGACTTGGAATTCATTTAATATTTCAATCAAATTTATCAGGTAATAAAAAATCTGATATGTTCTTCTTTTTGCTAAACTCCGAACGTTAACTTATTTACCATCCTTTACTTGAAATTTCTATTATTACAGTAACACTTGTAGCGAAAACAAATTTTCATACCTGTTTATTACAATCGATATTCAATATACTATAACAATTTATACATTAAGTGCTCTTTTCATTAGAAACGAATAGTCATTAATAAATAGTTAAGATATTTATTTATCTTGAAATAATAATAAGCCAGTATTTGTATCAAATAATGTCCTCTAGTATTTATTCTGTTTCGATTCAATTTCATTATGCCATTTAATTTATAATATTTAAAATATTGCTGTTCCTAAGTATTTATATATCTGTGTGTAGTATTATAGTATTATTCAAACTGAGAGCTTAGTATTTACATTTTGTAGTAAAATATTTGAAAAAATTTAGAATTATCATTATATTAAAAAAATATATATATCAAAGCAATCTAAATAGTTAGTAAAGTGAATATAATTTTCGACACAATTGATATTGATAATTAATATTGATAAATTAATATTGATAGAAAATATTGATGGAGGAACTTGAATTTCGTGAAATTTTTTTTCGTGAATTTTTATTTTTTAGCCGAGCTGCAGACGATTTGTTCGTCCTACTGGCAAAGAATGTACGATCTTGAAGGCGATAAGTTTGATCTTGAGCGGAAAAGTAGATTGAAAGATTTTGAGGTAATTAGTTATATGCAAGTGAAAAAATAAAAATAAACCAATATAAAAGTGAAACCTCAAACTTACACATGCATTTAAATTTTTTCCTAAAAAATTATTCAAAAGTTTTATTTGCAGAAATTGCGCTTTTTTACTTTCACCTAATTACGCGAATTTTAGAAGGATGCCAAGAGAATATACACGCACAATTTTACATTAAATATGATTAATTTTTATTAATAAATATATTTATTCTTAATTGTATTTTTACAATAATTTAATAATATTTAATAATTTTAAGATATATTGTAATTTATTGTACATAGATACATATTACAATATTTTTGTTTAAGTATAGTGAAATTAAAAAAAATCAATGGTGTATTTTTAAAGCAATAGTTGTTTATAATTTGTCGGCAAAAATAGGTCAAAGTGAATATAAAGCGCTTCTTTTCGCAACGGACGGAAGCAAAATAATAATGCAATTATGTGCGTTGGGAAAGGCATCCGTCCATGTGAAAATATGTTAAATTGCAATATTGCCAAACAAAACACAAGATCCTGTTTATAACCACGGGATTGTTAATTTTGTGATAAAACTTTTTTCGTTTTTATTTTAATGTTCTTTTTCTTACACCTTTTAGTTTTTTTTTCTTTCTATTTAATGTTAAATTTTTTGTTTCATTTTTATCGAAGTCTCCAGTAGTATGTAGTAGAAATATATAAATTATATTACCTTTTGACCAATTCCTAATTTTTTCCATTGATTTTCATTTGTCGTCCATTGGTGCACGTATATATTATATTTGATAAAATCGCAATTACTGCGCGCTTGATGCGCACGTATTTATCGTCCGTCGACGTCACTTACGCTGTCAAAATCATCGAAAGAGAGAATTTTAAAAGTATTCTTATTAAAATATTTATGTAAATTATTTTCGATAATGTTTTTCAAAAACATTTGTTAACGTAAAAAATATCTTTTTGATCACTTTTTACCTATTATAATCATAAATAATTAATTTTATTTGAAAATACTTCATAATATTTAATTATTAATGATTTTACTAAAAGTTTTAATAGGAATTATATTAAATTATATAAATATATTATCGAATTTTTTCAGGCGAGTGCTACATAATTTTTCATCCAATGTTTGAAAAAACGCATGGGTGTATTTAAAGATTATTTTATTGAAATTTTTAAGTAAAAATATATAAGAAGAATAAAGCTTTAGTTTGGTTTTTCTTCATATTCTTTGTAGCCGAATTGAAGCGGATTTGCACAGCGTATCATGAGCGCGTCTACGTTTGTGAGGGTCAGAAGTGGGATTTGGAGCGTGAAGTTCGGAAAAGGGACTATGAGGTACTATTGATAAATAAAGCAACGTGCATATATTTTAAGAAAATTAAAAAAGGGCATTTTAAACAAATACACCAGATTTTTTGCTATCGTCATTTCAAAACCAAAATTCCCCTTTTCTCTCATTATACTTTCACGCGGAGAGAAAATCTAGACGACCATAGCTGTTAATAACTGTATTTCATAGTCTAATAATAATATACTATGACATATTACTTTGTCAAATGTATAAAATGTATATATGTGCATTTTTTCCTTTTTATAAAGCTGTTTGAAGATCTGCTTTTGTTTTGATTTACTTTCAAATTTAGTCAAAACAGAAACTGATTGGAATTGAGTGTCAGACGTCCTGAATCATTGCGACTAATACAGTTACAAAATATTTTCTCGTGTATATAAAAAATTGGTAGTAATTATACAATTAATTTCTAATTTCAAACCAATTTATATTTATTTCAACATAGATAGTACAATATTTTAAATAACTTTATTTCTACTTAATTTTATATCAACTTTTTATAACTAATTAATTTGATGACCAAGAATAAAATATATAAAAATGAATCTTTCTTAAAAATTTAAATAAAATAATCGAAAATAACTATATTTAGTATTAAATGTGTAATATTAAAATAAAAAAATAAAATTGTTGAAAACCATACGATAAACTTTGTCAACTTTGCTACCAACAATTAATTTTTCAATACAATTATTTATATAATTAATAATTAAAATATGAAAATATTTACTGCTATTTTTTATCCGGACTGAAGTAAAGTTTTTCATTTTTTATTTCATCTCTTAATATTTCTTAATTTTTATCTACAATATATATGGACATAAAATATTTTATAATTTAATTTTAAAACAGTAAAGAAAAAACATATCAGTTATTTTATCGTATATTTATTAATATCATTTAAAAGTTTGAAAAATGCAAAAAAGTTTTGAAAAAGTTTTTAAGTTTTATTTTTTATTTAAAAAGTATGAATATGACTTCTAAATGTATAATTTTTTAAATTATATAAAATTTTTTAGGAATATTATAAATGTGAAGGAAAAATGCAAAGTTTAAGATCAATTTTACAATTACATAATTAAATCCAGATAAATTATTTATGCTGTTGCATAGATGAATTATCTTTTATTTTGTACACATATATAATTTAATTTTTTTTTTATATTGTTTTACTTTTTTTATATTTCTTATATTATTAATTTAAATCATGTGACAAATAATCAAAAATATATAATGATTTTAGTTATTTCATTGGTGGTGGAATAAGCTTATATAATAGTTTAATTTTGAAATTATTCGAAGTTGAAAAAAAAAAACAAATATTTTTTAACTATTCAATAAAAACAGTGATAAATGTTTTTGGAAATAACTTTGATATGTCATTTAAAGATTTGTAAAAATTTACATAATTAGTAGAAATAAAATAATTATAATCTCCGCTCTTTTTTCATATATATTTAATAATTATTTAGAACTATTTAGTAAATGCATTCTTGATAATATTTTCATTTATTAATTTTATATATTTTATTTATATAAAAATAAATTGCATTTTACTGAAAGGAAGGAAACATAATTGTTTTATTTAAAATTTCGCATAATTTTAAAATAAAATATAAAGAAAAAATTATTTTCGAGTGTAAATATGAAATTCAATATTTATATACGTATCTGAGCGCAAAAATCGCAAATAGTATAAATAAATAAAAAAAAATTATTATTCTAACATATATAATCTATTTATTAAATATTGAAGTTTTATATCATGTAAGGAAAATAGTTTTACTGTATTCGATAAAACTTGTAAAATATTCTATAAATGATTTGCAGATAGAATGGATGAATAAATATATTTGATATTGTAAATACTTTGTAATGACTATCTCTGAAATGTATTTTCAAATGTATATTAAATGAAAAATTCGACATGAAAATATTTTTTAAAATAATCCGCGTTTTAAACAACTACCTGATGAAAATAGAGGAATATAAAAAATGAGTTTGATAGTATTCATAGTTTCAGTATATTTATGAAATATATATGTATATATATATATATATATATATATATATATATATATATATGGCCAAATAACTGAAATTATCCGATTAAAATAATTAAGTGTGGCACTTCATACAATCGTTCCGATTTTATGAACTCATTTTAGATAATAAAAGGAAATCGTATTGTAAATAAGTATAATATAGTTATTGTGAATGTTTGATTACAATTTATTTATATAATTAAATTTGTTAATTTATTTAAAAAACATGTTACTATGATTTTACGTTAATTTATTTAAAACGATGAAACATTTTTTAAGGTCTTTAGTTACAAAAATTGAAAGGCATATATTAAATAATTAAAAAATTCATAATTATAGATAAAATTTTATCATTTTATACGATGAATACACTTAAGGCTCTCACAAAAATAGACGCAACTGTTCGTTGAGTATAGATTTTATAAAAGAATAACGCATTAAGAAGTGCCATGCTATGAAATTCTCTATTACCTCCATTCTCTAGAAGAATCTATTTCCTACAAAGTAAAATACGGATTTTTCTGTGGAATAAATATCTAAATTTAATAAATTTTAGTAGTAATAATTTATAGAATGATTATTATTACTCTCACCTGTGGGTAAACATATATTAAATCGTAAACATAAATTTTCGGTTATTCATTATGCAAAACAGCAATAAGTCTATAATTAGAAATTTATATCGTAAACATTTTCAATAAAATTAAATATTCAAATTGCTGTTTACATTTTATAAAAATTATATGAAGCTTATAAATTATAAATATCAGTCAATAATTATATAGCACTTCGATGTACTGTATAATAATTTTATAAATATATACATTTTAAGTTCTAAGATCGATTGTGCACCGATTTTAAATCAGAAATTTCATTTTTTATGTTCATTATTCGAATATAGATGATAAAATATTAAATAATTATTTGGAATTTAAACAAAATTTATTAGTCAATATAGTGTAGTGAAAAATATTTAAAAATTAATATCGTAAGGTATAAAAATTGCATTACTTATATGCATCTGAAATAACGTATTATAACATTGTTGAATTCAGAAACTCCTATAAAAAACAAGCTGTACTATACAGATTACAGGTCACGTTTTCATTTTTTATTAAACTTCGTCTAATTAAGTTTTTTAAAGTAAAATTTTAGTAAAATATAAATATTATTTGCTCTTTATTTATTAATAAAAGACAATATTGTTTCCTTTAATATAAATTGAAGAATATGCAGAGTATAAGAAAATTAATAATTGAAGAGAGTAAAAAAATGAAAGCATGTCTACACTTGACACATAATCTTAAAAAAAATCAATACTATTTACAGTCAGCTTGTTTTAATCATGACTGACTGGTAGAGCATTATTATTCACCAATGTCTCTTAGACGTTATTTTAGATAACGTTCATTCGTCCAAGAGTGTGAATTTATTATTGCATTTGGTTCCTTTTCTTTTATGTATAAAAAGTATTAATATTGAACTTTTTAATTAAACTTTTGATTGTATGATTTTTTTATATTAATGTAAATATGAAATCATTTTTATAAACAATAAATAAAATTCATTTTTTATTGTTAAGAATATAATATAATAATCAAAGCATTACCTTCATCATTTTTCAATTAATATTATTTATTCCCATCTATTTACGGATTTGTTTTATCAACGTAAGTATACGTTCGAGAGTTTTTATTCATGTTCTTTTTATCTTTTTTATTTGACCCTTCATTTGTCTGAATATATGTGTCTGAATGTTTTTACCTAGCTTATTGATTATTGTTTTAGCGATATATGATATATTGACAAATATGATATAATTATATAATTTTATCATATAAACTTACGTATATTTTACAGTATAAATCAAACTATTTTCCCTTTGAGCTTACTTTGTCTACTATAATGGCTCGTGTTTGTGTAGAATGTATTATAGTTTATAAATAATATTTATGACTGATTGTTTTACACTCAGGTTATAGAAAACATATCCATTACAAATTCTAAATTTCTATATTAGTTAGAATTATTATTCTATAACTAAAATTTCAATCTACTCATCTTCTTTTTTTACTAATTTATGATTTTTTTTAATTTTAATTTTCGGGCGCTTACTTATTATTTTTGTGCACAATAGAAAACGTTTGCTGTGTTTTATCTGATTTTGATTACTAATACAATTTTTTAAAATAAATGTATTGTTTGTTAAGCTACATAAAATTTATTTAATATATTGATATTATAATACATGACCTATATTTATTAAATTTTTTATAAAAAATTTAAGTTTGGTGTAAATTTAAATGAAAAATTCTTATTAAATTAATTCATTTTATAGTATAATTTTTTTCGTTTTTCTTCATACACATCTACAAAATATAATTTGAAATATATTTAACTAATTGTTGTTGTAAGATTATTAAATATTTATCATATTAACGTATTAGCATAATATAATTAAAAAATTTTAATTAATAGCTTTTTTTGGCTAGTTTAAAGGATAATAATATTTTAATATTATATTTCTTCATGAATATAGATTGCAGATTTGAACAGTCAAGTCAACGATCTTCGTGGCAAATTGTAAGTTTTATATATTTTTAAACTTTTCACTTATTTTGGTTTAATAGTGATACATTAGTTAAAAATGGTTTTAGACAAAATATAAAAATTAAATACAACTATTGTAATTATCTTATACTTTAAAAACTAATTTCTTTGATTTTTTAGTATTTTCAATTCGCAAATTTAAATTGAAAAAATTTCTTAAATTATTTTATTACAGGAAAATTAATTTTATTATATAAATTTTGTGATTTGTGATTTTTCATAATAATAAAAGATGTTGAAAATTTAATATTAATTTAAATTTAATATTACTTCATTTGGAAGTTGATATCAAGTATCCGCATTTGCTTATCAATAGTATATGTTGAATAAAAATTCAATAAAATCTAGAAACAACTGCATCTTTGAAGTTATTACATCGTATATTTTTATTTTTATCTATCCATAAAATCTTATTCGAATGCAGTATGAAGCCAACTCTGAAAAAGGTATCCAAGTATGAAAACAAGTTTGCCAAGTTGCAAAAGAAGGCAGCCGAATTCAATTTCCGTAATCAATTAAAACAGGTCAAGAAGAAAGAATTTACTCTCGAAGAGGAGGACAAGGAGGTAAGCAAATTAATTTTTAATGGGTTCATATATCACATTTGAAATAAAGTGAGGTAGTTTTTTCTCTGACATAGATCTCTCTGTTTCTCTCTTTCTTTCTCTCGCATAGTCACTTCTATCTCTTCATTTTTATGTTTATTACATTTTGCGCCATAATCTTATATAAATTTATTTATGAACATGATCAAAATTTAAATAAAAAAACTAGTCAATACCAATATTATTAAGATTTTTTTCTACTTACGGATAATTATTATTTATACGTTATAATAATTATATTGAATTTATATTTATTACGAATATTTATTTCGTTGTATATTAATCACTTACATATATCTCTTTGATTTTTAAAAAATTCTAATATTTCTATTTATATATTACAAATTTTTAATGTTTAATGAATGACTAAATAACTAAAATAGCATATATTATAAACAAATTAATGATATAAATAAGTGTGATACTTCATTTATTAAATTTTATTTATTAGTTATAAAATATAATTTAATCTGAACATAGGAATAAATTTTCAACGACAGAAGCATTTTTCTTGTTTTATCATTTCGATTGTATCTAAGATAATTCTAAAATGAATTTTTTTTTTAAACATTTGTAACTTATAAAATAATAAAATCCTGAATTAGATTATATATCACTAAGAATAAATAGAGTTCTTTTAAGTTGATTAGGCAATGTATTGTTCTCCACAACCCAAGAAATTCAAGAAGGCAGAGAGGTAAACGAAGAAGTAGATAACAAACAGCCTAAAATTATTAAAAATATTCATATTAAGAATAAATTAATTTTGAACAGAAAATTAATTAAATAAAATTTTATTACTATATATAAGTTAATTATTGTTCTTTCTAATAAATCAGAGAGATGATTTAACATTATTAAAATTATAATTAACTATTATTCTTAAAGCGAATTGTCAGTAATAAATTTAATTTTGCATCAAATTTTTTAGAATGTCAAGTTAATATTTATATTACAGGCATTTAATACATATTTATTTATTATAATCATATTTATTAATATTTCACACATTCAATTTTAAAAATTTATGATTTTTAATATGTTTAACTGAGGATATAAATTTTGCAGCCTTCGTGTATATGCCAGTCTGCCAGGATTTTTATTAATTTTGTCTATTTTTTGAAAACGATTTGTAATTTTGATTTCTTAATTTTCATATCATCTTACTTGTATTTTATTTTCTTCAAATATGATTTGATCAATCAAAAAAATTTTAACGCAAACAAAAATATTCCAATATATTGAACCTTTTTCTCTGACAAAGATGTCCAGATTATTTTGAAATTCATGAATTTTAATTTTAAAATTTAATTATTTTTTAAATTTGATATATGTTCTAATTTTCTTTTTTAATAAAAACTTGTATTTTTTAATCATATAATTCTTATTTTTATTTTAACATTATAAAGAGTTTATATACATACATACACACATGCATAATCTATACATACATACATGCATACACACATGCATAATCTATACATACATACATGCATACACAGATAGATTTTTTTTCTGTATGTAATATAATAAAAATAATGATAATTGTAAAAGAAAAAGTACGCTGAAAGGGTGAGACGTATTTTGTAATGCATTTGAACCACAGTATTATAATAGAATTGTAGCAGTGCTTAGTTCAATTGCATCTCTTATCTATTTCTCTAAACTATTTTTTTTATTCTTCAATTTAATTTTTAAAATTTTTTGTTACAGTTTAATAACTATATATCTTTATTAACTATATATAAATATAATAAATATATATAAACATAATAACTATATATACGTTATTTTTATTCAATCTTTTTATACAATTTTGTTTTTGATATTTTTTTGTATTTTTTGTTAATGTATTTAATAATTGAAAGAGCTGAAATAAAAAAAAAATTCAGAAATAATTCTTACAAAAGATACTAAAAACTGTTGAAATAAATATTTTTGTTTTTTCGATATATAACAGTTATTAATATTTCTTAATCAAAACTTTTTTTCTTATTGTTATAAAAATACCACTTTTCTTTTAAGTTTCAAATAATTTTTTAATAAAAAATTACAACTTTTAAAATTTGTATATGAAAAAATTAATAAATAATTGTTTGCCTATTTTTTATTGTTTATTTTTTCTTTACATGTTATCTTTATATGCATAATATAACAATATTAGAATCAAATTATATATCCATTTGTAGAATATATAACGATTTTTTAATTGACTTTCACAAATTTTCTTGTACAATAATAAATAATTTATTTATAGATTCAATTATTAAATGTATATAAGTAAATTCAATTAAAAATATATTTAAATAATATATTAAGTTTTTTCATTATTCATACTTTACGTTATTTAATGTCAATTAAAAGCATTTTAAGAAGCAATCTCATATAAAACGTAAGGATAAAAACGATTAATCTGTAAAATTGTAAAGTTCATTAAATAAAATATCCTTGAAGTATATTTGGAACACTAATACTGCTTAAGTCCTTAAAACGTCTAAATGTTGAAAAATCAAGAATTAATAAATTTCAAAATATTATATATTTGACAACCCCTTCTAATAATTAATTATACATATACGCTTGTTTTAAATCCTCGTGATTTTTATAATGCAATTTTTTCATTAAAAAATATTTTTAAAATATATTTATAAAATTGTTGATAAATATAAATTTAGTTATGTTAAATAGAAATATTACAATTTGTAATGATTTCCAATTTATGAATAATTTAATATTATTATGAAATTATTTGTTTCTTAATTCTTTATTACTGCATTTCATTATTATTTTACAACTTTTTTTATTAGATTAATTTATTTATACCGAATAATAAAGAGTAATGTATAAAAATATAATAAATAAACAAAATTTCAACAGACCAACAATAAAAAGTAATATTTAAATTTTGTTCACTTAGGATTATTATATTTATTAATTTATTAAATTATTCATTAAATATAAATGACATATTGATATTGATATTAAATTATTAAACTTATTTATATCAAATGTACATTTGGTTCGATTGTATTGTAAATAAATATTTTGAAAGGCTTTTAAAACTAGAACTAAAAATTTTAATTTTTATTTTTTATAAAAATATGAAATTCACATTCATTTGTTTTATATTTACAGAAGAAACCAGAATGGTCGAAAAAGGGCGAGGAGAAAAAGGTAAAGGAAGAGGAAGCAGTCGAAGCATGAAATTCCTACAACTTAAATATACCGTCAATATATCATTTCATTCAACACTTCAAAATTCAATGTTGATGCGATAATTAACTTTTTACTGCATACATCAATACTTTCATTTTTTATTTTGAAGGAGATTATCGCCGTTTGTAAAAATATTACATATGTTTTTATTTTACCCTATAATATAATGAATTTTTTTTGTTTTTTATAATTTATTTAAAAAATTATATTTTTTCTGATTTTTCTTTCCTTGATTTTTTGAATTCTATTGTGTTTTTGATTACCTTTTTTCCATATAACGATTATCCTCTCTTATTTTTTAATGTTTGAGAAAAATAAGAAAATCCAATGATTATAAAATAACAAATAATACCTAGTTGATATTTGGTTCAAGTTTTAGTCGAGACTGCGAGTCATCAAAGTGTAATAAGAAAATGATATTTATGTTGGATTGTAATTTTAATAGAATCAATTGATAACGAGCAATGCTTTGTGAAAATGTTGTTATTTCTAAATGTATTTTTATTATACTTATTTAAACATTGTATGGCATTATTGTACCTTTTATTTTTTCTTCACCAATTCCAATAATTATTTGCTTAATAAAATCTGTTTTGAAAATTATAATATTTTGAAAGTTTTAATAACAATTTTAGTTTATTTTGTTATATTGTATGTCATTGTAGGATTCTAAAAATCTCTATTCTGTTGTTGGCAAAGTTTTCTTAATAGTTGAACTAAAAATATATGTTTAAGACTTGTCTTTTGTTAAAATGTAATGAATACCGACGGCCTATTTTATATATATTACCTCCAGTACAACGTGACAAAAATTCAGGATAATATTAAAGGTTTCTATTTAGTAAGTAAAAATGAAATACAGAAAGAGCCTTTTTGACTAGATAGAAATTGCACCTTGAAATTGGCCTTACATATTTATATAGGTATATATAATTACCATCTTTGACTATGATCTCGTATCCAATGATCATATCGACCAATAATTTTATTGTACCTACTATGATATATTTACAAACATATTTTATTCTATTGTGGTTGGATGTAAGGATAACGAGCAAACACATTCATCCGTAAAAATATATATTTCATTATGAGCAAGAATAACCACTAAAGAAAATCTAAAATTGATAAAAAGTTATCGAATAATCTTTTATAATAATCAAATATATTTCAATCTAGATAAAAGATTTAATTTAGTTATTATACTGTATTATTTAGATCTCGAGCACAGGTACATTTAATATGAAAAATAAAAATCAACCAAGTTATAAAGAGTTTCCTCAGTTATTAGAAAAAATACAACTGTATTTAAGTGTAAATTAACGAAAATTAATATTATTAAAATTTTTATTTTTTAAATAATTGAGTATTCTAATTTTTTTAATAAATAATTATAAATGTATACATTTTTCTTTTTTCATTTAAATACTTATTCATATATTACTAAATGTAATAATTTTAATAATATAAAAGAATATTTTGTTTATAACATATAAAATTTTATTATCATTTAAATTTTATATTTTGAACTTTTATCTGGGAAATAAGTATATTTAAATATTATTCACAATTTGTTTTTTTTTTAATTATTTCCACATATTATTGAATATAAGTGTTGACATTTACATATATTTGCAAAATCATAAGAAAACTGATTTTTCAAATTTAAGTTTTTAAAATATTAATCATAGACACATATAAAAATTAGTTTAATTAATTTTATTAACATAAAATTAATATTATACATATACACTGAAACATAGGTTAAAACATAGATAAAATATAAAATAAAGTATTTGTAAATTAATAGTTTATTAATATTCAGAAATATTTATAACCTTTATTTTTGAAATATATTATAACGATTAATATTTCTAAATTTTATTAAAAGTTACATTTAATAGATAACAATTCTTTCTCTTTTAAACATTTAATCTCATATTCGTCTAATGGTAGGTCAATAGTAGGTATATTATAATACGTCATATTATAATTTTGGAAATAATTAAGATAATTATGATTACAGATACTATGAAAGAACGAGTATGGGAGATTTATGAAGGCCATTATAATTTAGCTGTGATATTTTTTATCGTAACTTTTACACAAATATCACATAATAACATGACTCTGTGATTCACTCCTTTTTTCTCATTCGCTCACTCTTTCATTGATTACTAAGATTTTCAAAGTCAACTCCTTGATGTATAATAATTATTATGAACCTTCAAATAGTTTTCCGTGAATGACCTAAAATTTCCTAACTACTATATTTATGTACATCTTTATGTGAAGTATTTCGCTTGAACCTAGCTGTAATTTATAAGATAACTTGTTCTTTTCTTTAATTTTACATTTCTGTATTTATTGTAATTTCTTATGGATATGTATAATAATCGTTTAAGCTGTTTTGAATAATTTTATATTGAAAATATAAATTATAAATAAATAAATAAATATATATATATATATATATATATTAGTTCAATTATTAATTATTTGAAGATAACATAATATTTAATAATTATAGAATTATGAGCATGATTTGGTTTATTTTCTATATAAAATTAACTAAAGTAAAATACAACTAAATAATAGAATTCTTACTTAATAATTTTTAATATTTTTTTTTTAAATTTAATTTTATCGTTCAATATAGATTATTGTATTAAACGAATCTTGTAAATATTTAAGCATAAATATTTGAGCCAACTGATTGATATTTGTATTTTTTTTTTAAGTTAATTGCAATGGCTTACACTTCATATGTTATGTGATAATAAGTCATGATTCGAAGGCGGATTTATAAGTCTAGCTAGTTTCAAAGTTATATTTTATATAAGTGTATATGATTTATATTTATTATTACCATATTTTATTTCTTTTACTATAAATAAAAATATATTCCTTTCCCTATAATATGTAATTAAAACTTTATGTTTATTACTTCATATTTCATTTACAGTTTTCATAAAATCTGAAATTAATGTTATATCTAATTGTCTAAGTAAGTACTGTAATATAACTGTTTTTAATTTCCTTTATAAATTAAGTTATAAATATCAAAACATCAAAACATCTAAATTGAATTTTTGTTTACATTTAACTTTATTTATTAATTATATGTATAGTTAATAAATAATTAATTATACTCGTTACTCAAAAAAGAAATATTGTATATGATAAAAAACAAGTATTACTGTAATTATGTAGGAGGAACCGGCAAGTGAAACTACATCTGAAGCTACATCTACAGAACCAACGCCATCTCCCATTTCAGCTATTGAAACACCAGAACCACCTTTCGTTGAGACAGGTACAATAAGATTTTATTTTTATTATATGAATACACAAAACAATTTGGTTGCATTAATTACTTTCATTTAATTAAATTTGGGATTTTTTTTAATTAAATTTTTTAATAAAAATAAATACTAATAAATGAAATATACTGTATTTATAACGGAATTACCTATGTTCATATTTACATTTAATTCCTTATATATTTACTTATAATTGCAAGCAAAATTATTTTTTCATTTCAGAGCCAGAACCTGAGCCAGAACCTGAACCAGAACCACCAAAAGGTAGATTCGACTTGACTTCAGTTCATACTATGTAACCTAATATAAAACTTACCTAAGTTTTTTATGTTTATTTTTGCGCGATGTATGTGTAAGGAATTTTCATTTTAACTTCAACAGTAATATTTTTAAGTAATTTTTATTTTTATCTTTTCATATAAATTATATATAAAATCGTCACTAGATTATATCATAGTAAATAATTTTATTAACTATAATTTTTGTATAATTATTTTATATATGTAATTTGATATTTCAACGTTGTTACGCATTGTTTTATTTGCTTTTAATTTGTTTGAGATTTTATTTATGTTAAAGTTTTATGTAAAATAAATTGCCTTGTATACATATTTAAATTTTTTTCATATTTTACATTATATTATATAAATAATCAAATAAATTTATAATTTATAATATTCCGTTATTTGAATATGTAATATTTTTATATTAGAAATTTTTTCTACTTCCATTTAAAAGAAATAATTAAATTTAAATTAAAAACTGTAATATTTTAAATTATTATTCATTTTAGAACATTCTAATTGCTTATACTAATTCAAATTGAATATGACACAATTAATTAATTTTCAATAGTCATTAATTAAATGATAAAATATATTCGTAAATCTGGGTCGATATAAGAAATTGATAAGTTTGTACCTAACATAATCAATATTATTACTTGACAGTAAAAATTTGTACCGTTCTACCGTCGTTGCTTAACAAATGTTTGATACTCCAATTTATAATAAAAGTGTTTATCATTATTTTGTTATGTTTAAGTATTTGTTATTTGTAACATTTATATAAATATATATATTGTATAATTTTTATTGAAGCATACCTTGAAATATTCCTATAATACTTCTATTATATATAATATCAATAAAAATTTCTGTAACTGAAACTTGTTTAAATTTAACTTAATTTTAATTAGACTATAATTTAGTATTCATTTATTATATATTATGCATGATAATTAAATATATTTTTATTTACTGCTTATTGATACGAAGAATGTATTTAAAATGTATAAGGTATTTTCAATATTAAATTAAATGTACGTATACAAAAATGCATACTACAATTAATTTTTTTCATTAAAGTTTATAATATTCATTAAACTAATAAAAATTTAATTAGTTTAAAGTAACTAAAACATTGTAATATATACTTTAAATAAGGACTCAAATAGAAGTTTTTAATTTTTTTGTCAGGTCATTGTTTAAATAAATTGCTTTATTTGTTTTGTTTTATTTATAATAAATAATGTTTTCAAATTAATTTTAAAAATTTTATTCAACCATATCTTTTCACAATTCATATATATATATATCTATTTTTAGTTATAATGAATTTTATTATTTTGTAATAATATATCAAATATATATTACAAATAAATCTAATCATATTTACTAAAATTAGAATGTATATTAACAATATTTCTTCTTTATTATACGAATATATTATTATTAATTATTTTTAATTAATATTATTTTTAATCATTTTAATGTTTACATATAAAAAAAAGACTGTTAATGAATACTGCTAAATAAAGTTGAAAATAAAGACTTTCAATAGTTAAAAATACTTCTTTATTATTTAAGTTTCAAAAAGATAGTTTATAATAATTAAAAATATTATACAAATTTCTATGTAATTGAAATAGTATTTATGAATATTTATTAATTTTACTAATTTTTATAGTTATAAATAAATGAAAAAATCAATAGAATAAATTAACATTATTGAGTATTCCTTAATATTAATAATAAATTAACATTAATAATTTAACTATTCCTTTGGTCACAAAGTGTAGCTTATACATGGAATTGTCTATCGACCGCATTTTTTTGTTTTTTGCTCAGCACATTGTTCTGCTTAAAAATCATCTGAATTCGAAAACTGTACTAGTATTTCAATAATCGAAAATGTTTATCATATAGTTTATGTTTTATACAAGTTATAGCTTCTTTATCTTATAAAGAAATCAATGGTACTGTAAAATACGAAATTTGATTAAATTTAATTTACAACCAAAATAATAAATATTGGATTAATTTAATATTAGTACTACATTGACAATATTATTTTGATTTTAAAGTTAATATATAAATATACTTATATTTATTATAAATATCTATTTTTTGGTTAATAAATTATTGAATGGAAACAAATTGTTCCATCATAGAAAATTATAATTTAAAGAATACTATAAACAAAATTAAATTAATATTTATAAAAATATACAATGCAATTAAAAATAATTTTTAATTCGTTCGTTCTATTATTGGTAACCTATCTTCACCCTAATTTTGTCACTTCCAATCACTAATTATATCCTTATTACATCATTCTTACCATTGCACAATTTAGTTGCTAGAGCTACATACACTTACGACCATTGTAGTGCGACTGTTCTAAGAAGAAAGATCTAAGATTTAATTAAAGTTGTGTTATAACATTTAATTGTTTTTTATCCCTGTTAAAATACATTTTCAAAATGACTATTACACTACCGATGACTGAAAATGATGAACGTAAGTATAAATTGATTCAAACTGTTTTTCGTAAATCATTGTTCTGTAGTAAATTTATATAATTGTATAAAAATAATTTGATATTTGAATATATATATATATTAAAATTTTTCATTTTGTTTGATAAATTTATAAAATTTGATTATATACTTATACAAAATAAGTATTGGTGAATAAACAAATATAACAAAAACTAATTCTATTCGGAAGTTTTTAAACTATTTTTTACTCTTTGTATAATTTTATCGATATTATTGATATTATTGGTTTCATTAACAAGTTAATAAAGTTAATAAAAATAAGTTGTATTTTGTATTTTCAGAGCCACCAGCACCAAATCCATTAAATGTACTAAATTTACTTCTTTCAAAATTGAAAGCTATGGAAACGTCCGAATCAACGGAAGAAATATCTGAAGTAGATGTAGAATTATGCAATAAGATTTACTATATTCTAAACCCAGGTGAAAATAATGAATGGTTTTATAAGAGTATTATATGAAAAACTATATTTATTGCATTGTTATATATTATCCAGGTGAAAATTCTGTTAAAAATGATTAATACCTTTATAAATTAAATAATATATGAAAATGATATTTAAAGCAGTTTTATATAAAAATGTTATTAATATGTAATTACTTGATATTCATTTCAGTAAGAATATTGTATTTTATTAAAATTGTTTCCATTTCATGTATAAAAATTAAATGCTTAATTAGCTATTTTTAATCGTTAGAATAATTGCAGTTCTTTTTTTAGTTGAAATCTGTTTTATAAAATTATTGAAAACGTCGGGTTTATTAGATATATTGTTGTTTTCACTATAGCCATAATTTGTTTAACTTTATATGCTTGCATTCTATAAGCGATCAACATTACGAAAAGTTTGTCACCTTCATAAGAGTGCCTGTAAAGCTATTTTAATGTACTTAAATAGTTGTATGTTTTATTTTTATTAGTGATCTCACTACACTATAGAAAATATTTGCAGCACTAAAGTTTTGCTTTTATATCTCTAAAAATACATGTATATTTATGTTTATAGTATTTTGTAAATGTTTACAAAGTTAATAGAAAATAGTTATTTTTATTTATGTTATCATATATAATTTTGTATATAAAATACTCACAATTTATTTATAATATATATTTAATTATTTTGTTGATATATAATTTGGTAACTACAATTGTTAAGTAGTTAAACTTTGTTTAATTAGTAACATTTTTTAAAATGAAGTAATAGTATCAGTGCAGTACTAGTTATATAGTTTATAATAATACTTACTTTTATTATAAATATATTTGCAACTATCTTATAATTTTTTAATTTAATATACCTTTATTATATTAATTTTGAAAGGAAACAATATTTTAATTTGAAAAAAATTTCTTTTTCATAAATTTTATCCTCATCATCTAATTTGGTCATAATTTTATCCTCATCATCTCATCATGCATTTGGTTATATATATTTAATCATTTAATAACTATTCATAGAAAATTTTCCAATAATATTAAACTTATAAATAAATAACATATCATCAGTAAAATACAATGACAAAACGAATAAAGTTATAATTGATAAAGTTATTTATCGTCAATTATTTATAAGTTAATGTAATTTTTTATTTAAAAATTAAAAATTAAAAAACAATTATTTTATTTTAATAAACAGATTGAATTCCTCGATTTATTTTTCATAGATGGTTTTATTAAAAATAATATTTTTAATATATTAAAATAAAACCATAATCATTGATTTTATTATGAAAAATATGAATTTATAAAATAATACATAATGATTTATGATATTATTGTTTATTTTGGTACTAATAATATTGTAAAAAATGTATATAAGTATTAATTTTTTGTTTTATATTTAAAGCTAGCATTAATACTCTTATTAAAATTTTTTAATAAAAATAAAATAAAATTTATTAATGTTTGATGCATTTAATTTTTTTTTAATTGCAAAATTATTAAATTAGTTTTAAAGTTATTTTAAAAGTCATATAAGTCATTTTTTAAAATAAAGTATAATACAAAAAAGAAGCGCTTTATATGTTTAATTAGTGTGTGAAAAAAGACTTTTAAATTTTGTATTATTTTTATTTAAATTATTTTAAAAGTGTTTTAGTGAACTTAGTTTGTTTTAGTGAAATTATAAAATATTACTTCATTTTTAATGTTATATTAAAATATTTTTAATTATCGTAGCGGCTGTTCCACCTCCTGAAGAACCGATATCTACTGATGATTTAGTAACAACAGATAGTGATACAATATTGCCTGAAGGATTTGAGACAGCACCTACGGAAGGAGCGCCGCCAGTTGAAGATGATGAAAATGCTACAGCTGACGGATTGACATCCGTTACAAATGCAACTGCTATTGATGCACTGCCAACAGAAGTACAATCGGTAGAAGCGCCACCAGCTGAGGTAACAATTCAAACTACACATGTGGAGCCTGTTATTGTGGAAGGTTAGCATTTTACTCAAATGCAACAAGTTATTTTATCAATAATAGAATAAAAATAATTTCCAATATAAATGATTGCTTACTTATTGAAAATTGATTATACCTACATCTTTCCTAACATTTTTAACAGAAACGTATACCATAAGAAAGAATATAATTGTTTATTATAATCATAATTTATGATATATTGTTAAAGTTTATTTAATAAATTAAAATTCAGATAAAATTTATTTTATTTGATCAGATGAAATTTATTTATTTTATAATGCTTATAAAAATTGTGTATCAATATTTTAATATATACAATATTAAACCATTGTGTTGTAAAAAAAATGATTGTAGTTCAATTCAAATAAATCATTTACAAAAATTATCAAATATATAAGTTTTCAGTATTCAATAAATATACAGTGTCTATTTTTCTATCAAAAGAAGAAACAAATTAATATATTATTTTTAATTTGTGAATTAGTCTGTTAAATATTGCAAATTCAGGTATATTATTCTAATTAAAAAAAAATTTAGGAATAAAATTTATTTATTGAAAGTGTACATATATCAAGCATTTCTTCATCTTTAATTTATAATTTTAAATAAAATACAGAGAAGTTTTGAAAATTAAGATAATTTGTAATATAGTACTATTGAATTATATATAAAGTATAATATATTAATAATTAAAAGTTTGGACATTTTTCATCATTTCTAAACAAGAATTATCATTTCCTGTTCTCAAAAAGAAGTTCTTACCAATATTGTATATTACCAATATATAGTACATTACTGTATTTACGAATATTTTATATAAATTTTTGTACATTCTAGATAAAAGGTTCAATTATTCTATGATAATGATAATTCTAGGATTGTATGATATAAAATAGTATTCGAAATCTTATAGAAAAGTATAAATATTTTTTATAAATTTAGTGTGCATTTATATATAAAGAAATAATTTATATAAAATAAATTATTTTGATTTATTTCTTATTTATTTTTTTAATTTATAGTTATAGCATAATTTTTCAGACATGATAGCTATGATACTTTTTCTGTTGTTTATAATGAAGTACTTATCGACCATTACAAATAATTGAGGCATATATTTTAATAATTTTGTAATTTAATATAAATTTCATAAATATATTCAATATATAAAGTTTAAGCATATACAAAATGAATCGAATTTAAGTTTTTTATATTAAGATATACAATTAGAATAAAGATAGTATGACAATATGAAAAACTTATGATATAATAATATTTTAACAATTCTTTATTGAAAGGCTGTAGAGATTTTATAGATCTAATTTTTATTTAGTATCAATTAATATATATATGATATAGTTAAGAGACCTATATTTAATTTAAATATAATGAAAAAATTCTAATTTGAAGAAATTTTTTCACATATGAATTATCTTTTCATTAGTAAATATAATCAATGTCTAACAAAGTTAAAAATTATTGATTTATTAAATGTAATCGTTTTCAGCTTATCTCTTTTGAAATATATACCATATCACTTTTCTGTTAATAATAAAAATTGATGAAAATAAAAGCATAGAATAAACTTATCGAAAATATATAAACTATTAAGAAAATATGCTATTTTGATATACCGAGTACAAAATGAACTTGTCAATAAGACGTAAATGGATATCAGAACACTTTTATTTCTGGTTCACATAAATATATTTTTACAGTTTCTATTGTAAATTGTTATTCTAATTTTGATTATAATACATATAATTCAAATGAATTTTAATAGTATAAACATCCAATGATATTAATTAATAATATCACTCAATAATATTTACTTGGTTTCTTAAATTATACATGTTATATAATAGTATCAAATATATTATATACTGTATTAAAATTTCAATTTTCAAAACAAATGTTAATTAAATATATATCTGTAAATTAATAAAAGAACTCTTATCTTATATTATATATTTGATGAAAATAGTTGTAGTAAATTCGAAAAATAGCAGAATAGAAATGTACATTCTTTGATTACCCATTTTTGAAAAGTCAATATTGAGTATTAGTAGAAAAATGAGTATTAAACCAATAATAATCATATAAATAAATATAAATATTATATATATATATATTATATATAGTTTAATGTAATAATTGATATATTATATAAAACAAAGACTTGAATTTGATAATTTATATTATAAAAATGAATATAGTTTTTAAACTGGCACATTTGAGCTGATTTTTATTTTTATTTATAACATAGTTTACAGTACTTTAAAATTGTTATCGTATTTATGTGTGATTAAAATTTTATATATTACAACTATGAATTTTCATTATAATAAATAACCAACAACTGTTATTTAAAAAATATATAATTCATTAGACAAGGTAAGCTTGTTTAACTTGATATGATAGTATTGGATTCTAACTTGATTAACTTGATTAATAACTAACGGATATAATTAATATAATTTAAAACAATTTAAAACGGATATAATTAATACTAACGGATTAACTTGATATGATAGAATTTGGACATTGTATAAGTTTTCCATTTTGTAAATAAATTTTTGAAATAACAAACCAAATTTATTCTTACACGTGTGATAGTTTAAACACTGTTACATCTCATTACAAAAGAATTTTTTAAATTTTCAATTAAAGGAAACCGTTAATAATTTTTTAGTAATTATAAAAATAATTGTAAATTTCTAAATCATACAATCAATAGAGACATTTGCATAATGAATTAAGAATTAAAGAGTAAGATCTTTAACATTTAATTAAAAAATAAATATAACTGCGTAAAAACTGCAAAATTATTTGTTACATTTTTTAGACATCTTGAACGCACAAATATAATATTCATTATATAATTGTATACAGAATCAAAATCGATGTATACTTATTAATTTCAATCCATAGAATATAATGTATTCTGAAGATCCTACAGTTGACATCAATTTACTTCTATAGTGAGTAGAGGAATAATTTACAGTACGTCTTTAGACGATGACTCCATTGCTTACTCTATCCATCTCTCTCTCTCTCTCTGCTTCTCTTATTCACTCACTCATTTTCTGACTTGCTTACTCTTTCTTTCTAATACCCACTAAACATAACCTTTATGCTTTACCTCACGACGCGCGTAGTAGTCACCACTTGACTCTTCTCGACCGTAGGTTCACGCCGGTTCTAATGAGAAGTATTTTTATCGTTAAATGTTTTATTTTTTATATATCATTAATAATTTTCAAATTGCAATCATTAAAGATTTCAGTTACATCATTTCTTTGTTTAGTTAATTTATTAATTTTATAAATAAAATTATAAGAAATACAAAATTTTGTTATGAAATTAAGATAGAGGGAAGAATTAAAATGTTTAACCATTAACACATTGTTTATTGTTAATATTATTGTGACATTATATGTAATTTAAAAAACAGAAATTATTTTTTACGAGTGTTATATATAAGTTTCATCTTTATTAAGTTTAAATTTTATTATAGTGTTTGTGTATCTTAATTATGATAGTGCTTATTAACTACATTTGTGCATTAGTAGTTTGAAGATCGTTATAGAGCAGAAATAAGTATCCATTAATTACTGTGCTAAATATTTAATAGTTTATTAAGGAAATTTAAAAATATCAAACAACTGAAACAGCAACTGTAAATTTCTTATTTAAAAGGTTGGAATTTTGAGATTTAAGATCGGCTATTTAAGTATTGAGAAAAAAAGACAATTCAAGAAAACAAATGAAGTGAAAAATAAGGTTAAGGTCACGTCGACTGCTTGTGCATCACATTGTACACACACGAAAAGGTTAGGTGCGAGCGCGTGCGTCAATTATTTAAACACGAGTATCTTCGTCATAGAGTTAAAAAGAAATTAAACAAAACTGAATAAACATATAATTATAAGGGTGCTTACAGCGCACTCTGAAATTAATTTGCTCGTCGTTTTTTCTGAAATTATAACTGGTGAGTGTTACCATCATATTGAACAACTAATAATTTTAAAAAGTTCTATTTTGTAAACATTTAAGTGTGCGCGCGCATGAATTTTGGCTGGTCGTCTCAATTTTGAGGCTCAGTACGTCTCTAGTTTTATATTGGATACATGTGCAAAAGCAACAATTTCAATATTAATTATTTAGATAAGTAAGAAGAACAAAGAAATCAACGATTTCGAATACATTTTATAATAAGTTCCATTAATATTATATTAATACAGATAAAAAATACTCTTATTCCTTATATAATCGTTTAAAACTTTATACATATATTTATTTATATTTATAAGTATATGTATGTATGTTAAAGTAATTTTATCATTATTTATTAACTATGTGTGTAATCTATCATATATTTCAATTGTCACCAAATAAATATTCATTTCAAATTATTTTTAAAAACATTTCCTTTTCATATACAGAATTTGTATGGCTTAATAAAACTTGGCAAGTAGATATGTTATTAATAAAAGCACATTAGGTTAGTATTTAACTACAATGAAGTACTCTTCATAAATTAAGTAAATATTAAATTGGATAAAAATTTGAATAGAAAAAAGTATATTCGGAACTATTATAGAACTATAATAAATATTTACAAAAAAAAATTAATAGAAAAAAGGTTTGGTAATTTCAATAGGATTAAAATAGCTAAATTTAGTTGACTTTGAAAAAAAGTATGAATGAAAAAGATACGCTGAAGATAGAATTGAACTTATAGTTGTTGTGTGAAAAGTGATTTTAGTTTTTTTTTAATATGTATTTAATGTAATGTATAAGTTTATAATTACCTAGATTAAAAATCAGTTAAATACCATAAATAAAGTTTCAAGGGTAAAATTTTCAATTTATAATGTAGAATAAAGTATAGAAGCATTTTCTAATTTGAATTCTTTTATTTTTTTATATCACTACATAGTTAAAGAAGCTTTAAAAACAATTTTTAAATTTACAAAATTGTAAATTGTATATTTTAAAATATTTTTGTAAAAATAGCGCATTAAACATCCAGCAATATATAACATTTCAGGTCATCTGGAAGGTTACTAATTATAGAAATA